GGGGGGGAACACAGCAAACCAGCCTGGGGGGCCACCAGCTGTCTTCCCTGGGGTGGTGGCCCCAGTCTCGGTGTCCTTGTCCCCCTGCCCCGGCACCTGAAATCGATGCCGGAGGCACCACCCCGGGAAAAGCCGGGCAGGGGTCCGTCTGCGGGGTCGGTCATGGCCGAGCGCTGCGGGGGCACAGAGCCGTGCTGGCTCCTGGGATAGGGACGGGACGCTGGAAATTCCCTCAGCTCCGCCGCTCGGGAGCCACCTTCCCTGTCCCTGCCCTGGAGCCAAGCTCAGCACCGGAGCCTTCCTGGATTGCCGGAGCCTTCCTGGCAGCAGCTGGGGCCCCACCGATGCTCCTGCCTGTCCCTGCAGGCAGGGCTGGGCAAGAGGAAAACCCCGACCCTGGGGTGCAGTGGGTGGTGACCCCCCCCGGCAGGGACCCCGGCACCTCCCTGGCTCCCACCTGCTTCCCAGTTCCTGTTCCTGTTTGCTTACTGGGCTCCCTCCCTGCCCTGCTACACACGGCTGATATGGCAGCTCCCGGCAGTGCCAGCAGCCTCTCCCCTGGGCTCGGCAATGCCCAGGTCACCTGAGCATCCCCCCCCCAACTCCACGCAGCCCCCCCAGTGCCCACCACAAGCATCCCAGCAGAGGCAGTGGGAGAACACCAGAGCCGCCTTCGGCAAACACGGCACCGGGCTCCCCGCCGGCGCCGCCAGATCGGCAGCCCACCTCCCTCGTCCATCCCCATCAGCTCCGGGATGGCAGGGCGGGGGGGGACCAAGGGACCCCCCCAGGAGGGAGTACGACCCCCACTTCCATTTCAGGGGCCGGCGGCGATGGCCGACAGCCATGGCTGGTGGAAGCTGACCTTCCTGCGGAAGCGCCAGTCAGTGCCCAAGGTGCTGTACGAGAACCCCGACAGCCACGCTGCTGCCGCCGGCGAGAGCCAAGAGGGTCCGGGTGAGGAGGGACCACCCGGCTTCGCCGCCCGCCTGGAGAAAATCGTGGACAAGAGCAGCAAAGGCAAACACGTCAAGGTCTCCAACTCGGGACGCTTCAAGGAGAAGAAGAAAGTGCGGGCGACACTGGCTGAGAACCCCAACCTCCGTGCCGCTGGCGAGCGGGAGGAGAAATGACCCGGCCAGTTGTCACCCCCCGGCCACCGCCACCGGCTGTCCACAGCGGCTCGACTCCATCCCTCCCGGGGATGCTGGATTGTGGGGCTTTGGAAGCAGAAAGGACTTGTACTGGGGTTTATTTAAGGGAGAAACAAGGACCCTGATTAATTGCAGCCCCCGGGCTCGCGGCACCCCAGGGGCAGAGGGAGAACCGGGGAGCGGAGTCAGGTGCACCCCCCCCTTCCCAGCCCCCCACGGGCAGGGGGAGTGTCCCCGAGGCTGACTGGTTCATACTGGGATGAGGACACTTGCCGCAGCTCGGTCGCTTGCCACGGACCACTGGAGCCCATCTTTCACCCAGCTCTGCCCCAAGCGCCAACGGCCCGGATCCCAATCCCCTCCTGCCCATCACTCCTGCGGGGGTGAGACCGGGGGACCCCCCGCCTCGTCTCCCAAGCCCAAGGGGCCACGTAGCCACAGGCAGAGCCACCGATGCCGCGTCCTTGCCATCATTTACCCCCAAACCAGAGGACGTGATGCTTCCCTGCCTCGAGGGAATGACCCTGTGGGCAAAGTCCCCCCGCCCAAGCTGCCTCCATGAGGACCGAGGAGGACTCTGGGCTTCCCGGGAGGAGCCATATTCCCATCAGCATCCAGGAATCGCTCCCTGTTCCAGGAAGGGGAGAACCGACCACGGAGCACGGTGCCAGAGCTGACCCCGGGGACAGCCGCCACGGCCGATCTGGCAGCCCCGGTGTTTGTTCGGGTTGGAAGCTAAGCCTTTTGTCAGCTCTCGCGACTGCTGATAATTAACTGTTGTTAATAAACGAGGTCTGGAAGCAAAGGCAGCTTGGAGGCACAGGCGGTGGCGGGGGGGAAGAGCTTGGCGGACCCCCTCAGCTCCAGCCTGGCAGGGTCAAAGAGCTGTGGGTCCCTTCTGGGACCCCGGTGGGGAGCGGTGCCAGCTGCTGCCAACGCAGGGAATCCCTGACCCTGCGGAGGCGGGGGACACGCGGGGGTGGCCGTCACCAGCGCTGCCAGCCCGGGGTGCCCACCCTGCGGAGCAGGGTGCGGCCGTGCCTGAAGTCAACAGGAGAAACCACTTCCCAGCTATTATAAAAGCCGGATGGTGCCAAGTGCCAGAGTCCAACCCCTCCTTCCCCGGCACAAAACCTGTGCCGGGGTGGCCCAGGCCCCCGGCAGCCCCCACCCTTCGCTCTGTTTGCTCTGCCCGCACCCACCGGCTCACAGAACTGCTCTTTGTCCTGGGCTGGCAGCGCCGGAGGAATCCTGCCCGAGAGGGAAGGGAGGGAGAGGGAAAGAGGAGAGCTGTCAGCACGCAGCCGGTGCCGATCGGCTCATTTATGCCCATCACGGTGGTATCTGGGCTCCCGCCACGCTCCTAATGCCGGGATGGGTGGGAGACCTGGCTCTGCTGCCATCCCCAGCCCCAGCAAAGCCCCCAGCCCCTTCCCAGGACGTCAAGCTACCACCTCACGCTGTCCCCTTGAGGTGACGCCGGAATCCATGCCATCCCCTCCTGTCCCACCGTGGCGGCTGTCCCTGAGGAAAGAACATAGCCGGGAGGGACCCAGGCCACCCGGCGAGCCTGTGACAGCGGCACAAGGTGTGTGACAGCCCCCGTGGCCACCTAACCCAGCTCCCCCCCATCCCGGGGCCGAAATCCCCCCAGTCACCTCATGCTGCTACCCACCACAGGGCTTTGCCCACCACGCACGGCCAGGAACCCACCAGGGCACCCCCAGCCATGGTAAAGCCCCATGGCACGATCCTGCCCCAAGAGCCAGCGACTGGGAGAGTAAACATGGAGGCAGGGAGGACGAAGGTTATCGGGACCCAGTTTCACTGGGATGTGGCCCGGAGGAGCGAGGGCAGCACCCTCTGCCAGGTCCACAGGCCGGGATTCCTGGTTGCACCGAGCTCCAGCTGCCAGAGAGCGCAGCCTGGCCCTGCGTGGGTAAATATTAACCCAAACCCACTGCATGGCTCCGCACTGATCGGGATTTATTTTTTCCAAGCTCAGACAGGCAGCTGTGGGGCAGACGGGGAGCGGCGCCCACCTGACCCCCTCCCTGAACAAGCAGGCTGAGGGTCGAGGGTCCCACAGCCCTGGGGAGATGGGGTGCGCCGGTGGCAACACATACAGCCAGCCACAAACACCAGTGACACGGTGGTGACATTAAAGCTGCAATTAAATAAGTTATTGCACAGACTGAGCACATTGCACGGTTCTAGCTAAAACACGAGGCATGAGTGGTGGCAACAGCAGGGCACAGGCAGGGGGTTCACTGGGGTCTTTCTTGGTCCCTCCGCATCCCTCCATGATTAATTAACCACCAGTGGCACTGGGAGCAGTCGCTCCCCACGTGTTGGCGAGGGGAAGCAGATGGTCTCTGGGACACACCTGAGGCTCTCACCCACCCCAGTGAGAAGCGAAGGGAGGCGAAGGGGCTCTGGGGCTGGACCAGAGCCCCCCGCCAGCACCCCCGCAGCTCAGCACACGTCTCCCAGGGGACAGCAGAGCAAAGCCAGCCCCGTTCCCCTGGGCATGACGGGGGACAGGCGGGCAGGTTTGGCACAGGTGATGCTCCCGATCGGGCGAACGCAGCTGGAGACGGCGGCGGCCTCATGGGGCAAAGCGCTCGAAGACCCATTCGCCCTCTCCCCGGTGCGTCATGTCTCCCAGGGGGGCCGAGCTGTCCCGCAGGCGTCGGAAGACGATGCGGTCATGCAGGCGGTTGGTTTGGCCCTGCCAGAACTCCATGACATCCGGATTTAGGATGTAGCCGCCCCTGGCAGAGAAAGACGGGGCTTTACGGGGAGCCCGACCGGCAGGCAGCATCCTGCCCACGGCCCCCACAACTCACCAGTATGCCGGCTTCGGCACCGTCGTATCCTGGTACCGCTCCTCCAGCTCCGCATTCTTCTTCCTTAAATACTGTGGGGAAGGGGAAGGCGGTGAACACGGCAGCTGAGGCAGCCCTGGTTCTCCCAGCCCCTCCAGTCGCTGCCATGAGGAAAGGGATGAGCACTCACCTCCCTGTCCGGAATGACGGTGCTCTGCCGGCTGACGACGGCCCCAATTTGGCTGCTTTTGGGACGGGAGTGGAAGTACTGCTCCGATTCCTCCTCTGGCAGCCGCTTTACTGAGCCCTCGATCCGTACCTGTGCCAGGCACAGTCAGCTGGGCTCTGGCTAACGGGTGCCAAAGGGGCTGCGTGGGGTCCCAAGTGAGAAACTACCCTGTTGTCCCCGACTTGGCCCCCCAAAAACACAGGCACCCCCATCCTGTCTCATCTCTGAGGGCTAGGACCCATCCGAGCATGACCCCCACCCAAATGTGTGAGCCCAAACAGCCCACCCCGAGGGAAGGAGCACCTGCTGCCTGACACCGTGCCAAGGGGGCCCAACTGTGCTCCCTCTGCTCCCCCCGGCCCCCCCCACATCCCCGGGGGACCACGACACACCTGCCGGTTGAGCGGTTCCCAGTAAAACACCAGTGAAGCGAAGGGGTTGGCGTCCTGGGGTGAAGAGAGCGGAGAGACAAGAGAACCGTCAGCAGACCAGCATTGCCCCCAGCTTTAAAAAATTCAGAGAAACCCCACGCTTTGCCGCGGCAGGACCTGCCTGCACACAGTGCCGGGCAGAGCCTCGACGCAAACCACGGCCGCTTCGCTTCTCCAAGACCCTTGGTACAAAGGGGCTGGAAAGCCACCGTCCCTCCTGGAGACCCCCCCTCCAGTACCCCCAGAATCCTCGCCAGCCCTGGCGCGGCCGCAGCCCTCACCAGCTCCTTCCCCTTACGGCTCTCGTGGTTGGTGAAGAAGCGGAAACCATCTTGCCCAAAACCCTTCAGCAACACCATGCGGGCCGAGGGCTTCCCGTCCCTGCAGCGGGAGAGGGAAGGCGATGACAGGTTCCCCCTGCGGTGACCAGGGGGGACACCCCCCCACCCCCAACAACTCCCCAGCCTCACCTGGTGCAGGTGGCCAAGCACATGGCGTTCGCCTCCCCGATGGCCGGGCAGCCCACGGCCTCCTGGAACCAGACCCCAAACTGGTGGATGGGGTCTCGGGAGGCCAGGTGCTGCTCCTCGAAGGCCTGGGGACATGGGGGACGCTGTAAGGGGGGGGGACACGCACACAGACACCCACACGACACTCTGGCCTTTGGGGAGACGGCTGGCACTTGGGGGGGGGTGTCAGAGCAGGCTCAAGAGCACGGTCAGCACAGGAGATGGGGTGACCCCAGCTCTTGGGGTGCAGAAGGTGCGAGGGGGGGACCTCAGGCCTTGGGGAGACAGGCAGCATGAAGGGGGGGGTGTCACCCCGGGCCTTGGGGACAGCTTGGTGGGGGTCACGCCAATTCCAGGGGCACAACCAGTATGGGGGGAGTCACTACCCTGGTTCCAGG